TGGATGGTGGGGAGAGGGGTAAAACAAAACTCAAGGCTCTCTCCAAGTACCAGTTCTTCAAACTTTCATCTGGAGCTTGGTTTGCATTAGTGAAGACAGAAAGAAATTCTGGTGGCTGCAAGATTCTAGCTCAGCACTGAAGCAGGTTCTTGACCTTCCCTTTTACTCATCTTTTTGTGTGCTGCTAGAAGGATGGGATGTGGAGACTACATAGTGTACTTCCCCATCATGCTGTGAGAAACACTGGTGGGGAAATGCAGGAGAAGGGGAATCTCCTTGTAGCTGTCTGCACAACAGGGCAGTTTCTTGAATGAGCAGCCTTCAGTGCAGCTCTACCCTCCAGAAGTGCTGTTAAGTCTAACAAACAGAACCAGCTTTAACACTTTTGGTCAGGCATCTTAAGTGATTTCCTCCCCCTCCCCCAAGCTTCCCAATTCCTGTCAAGCACTGATTATCGTGAGCCTGGAATGAGGATTCTGGAGAAAGTTTGTGATAATATGCTCCAGCATGCACTGCAGTCAAGCTTATTACTAACCTGTTTGCACAAAATATGTTTGTGCCCATATGTGTTCATATACATGCACACATCTGAACACCTTGGCTAGGGACAGAATTTACACACAAACTGGTTTAACTGATAAGAAACTGGTTTAAACCTGTAACATAACATAAGTTCAGTGCATATAAGCCTGTTTCAAAATGGCCGAAACCAGTTTGAGATAAACCTGGTTGAATGTAGTATCAGACTTAACTGATTGAGCTCAAATCAGTTTATGCAACTTCTGTCCCAGACCCCTTCCTGGTTCAAGTTAAACCAGAGTCCCCCAGCATCTCAGCATGCTCTCTGGGCTATGCTCTGTCCTCCAGCAGAGCAGGGCTGGCTCTACCCCTCTGCTCCCTAGCCCAAGCAGGGACAGGGGCTTGGCCAGATGTTGGCTCCGGAAGGTAGCAGGAAAGAGGTATATTCCCTCCTCCCTCCCCTGTCCCACGAACATGGACCCAAGCTGGGGTCTGCCTGGCACCTCCCCCCACCCCCTTCACTGCTGCTGCAGTGGGGGCTGGGGTACAGCCAGACACCGGTTGGCATGGCCCCCTGAGGGACTGCAGTCGAGTTCTGTAGGCCGTGACTGCCACCGCCACTCATGCTCTGAATGGGGCAAGTGCTGGGATAAGCTCCCTCCACCAGATGCCAGAGGGAGGGGTAAATAAACCCCCTCCCTTCCCCCTTGCCTAAGGGACCGTGGTGGCCAGCCTCTGGCTGCACTCCCACCCCTGCTGCTGGAGCTGAGAGGGGGGAGAAACTGTGATGGGGGCTGAAGCCCCTCTCATGGTGTCCTAAAGTGCAAGCCTCTTTCCAGTGGGGGGCCATGCTGTGGGCAGGGGTAGGGGATCAGAGCTGCCTTGGGGCAAGCGGCAGCACCAGGGCTTGGAGGGATGCCCATAGCCCCTCCAAATCCCCCAGCACCGCCACTCACCCTGTGCAGTCTGCGGCAACTTTCCCTGCCCTACTCCTGCCCACAGTGCAACCCCTCCCACTAGGAAGAGGCTTGCACTCCAGGACACCATGACAGGGGCTGTAGCCCCTATCAGGGTCGCTCCCCCCTTGCAGCTCCATCAGTGGGGGCATAGCCAGATGCCAGCAAGCATGGCCTCTTAGGCGAGGGGGTAGGGAGGGGGGTTATTCCCCCCTCTGCCCCCTGGGGACCACAGCCAGGGTCAGCCCACCCCAACCACAGCTGCTGCCGCTCCCTGCCTGTGCAGGGCAAGTGGTGAAATAAGTCCCCTCCCTGCCCCCTCACTATAGGGGCCCTGCCAGCTGGCCTCTGGCTATGCCCATATCCCTGTTGCTGGAGCATGATGGGGCAGGGCCCTTGGTGGAGGCAGCACTCCCTGTCATGGTGTCTAGGGAGCATGAGCTTCTTCCCAGTGCAGGGGCTGCGAGTGGGGTGGGTGGGGGTCAGAGCAGAGTTGCTCCAGCGGCAAGGGTGGAGGCACAGCCAGAGGCCGGCTGGCAGTGCCCCTTCAAGCGAGGTGTCAGGGAGGGGGGTTGTTCTCCTCCTCCCTCTGGCATCTGGCAGAGGGGGCAGGGAGGAGGCTTATCTTGCCGCTCACCCCATGCAGGGAATGAGCAGCTGCAGTCAGGGCAGGGAGACCCTGGCCGTGGTCCCCCAGGAGCAAAGGGGGGAATAACTCCTCTCCCTGCCCCCTCTGCCTCAAGCAGCCATGCCAGCTGGTGTCTGGTTGTGCCCCTGTGTCCACTGCTGCAGCAGCAAGGGGGGAAATGCTGGGCAGACCCTGGCCCAGGTCTGTGCAGTGGGACAGGGAGGGAGGAATTAAACCTCCTCACTAGCCAGTTCACTCCAGGCTACTGCCAGGGCTGGCCCTGCTCTCTCCCCTCCCCCAGCACAGCCTCCCTGTAGCCGAGGGTGTGCTCTAGCACCCCCCAGCTTCTGGCTTGAGCAACTGCAGGCATGTGCCTGCATTTCGTCAGTCCAGAGGGAATGCCTGGTCACCTGCAAATTGGTTCAAACTAGGTAGGTTAGACAAACCTACAAAGATTGAATCAATTCAGGCTCTGGCTTTTTGAACATCTGTCCCTAGCCCTTTGGTCCCTAGCCTTTTGTAAAAGTTGAGCAAGCTGCTTGTCCTTTCAGCTCTGGCAACCTGTTCAGAGAGAATTCATCTTCAAAGGCTTTTATAAGTAAAAACTTGAAATAGTCTGAGGAAAGAAAGTAGAGGCTTGTCTTCATGGGAATCAAGAGATTCCTCCATTAACAAGGCGCTTCTGAAAGCTCCCAGTGGGCCTACCAATATGCATGGTTGTGATAACTGCTAGAGACAGAGATTTTCTCTAGCTGCAAAACTCAGGCCTGCATCCAAGTTTCCCCCATTGCTTGGCAGTGCTGAGACCCAGTGGTTTGGCTAGATGCATTACAAAGGAACAGGAAAGATACAAAATTTGGATTCAGATGGAATTTCCTTCAAGCGGTTGTCTCTGAGGGTTTGGTTTCTTTTAATGACTACTTGGCTCCCAGCTCCTTGTGTTTGAAGCTACTGTATTTTTGATCGTGTTTGTGGCATTTCTGTATTCTTCAAGATGTGAAAAGAAAAGAGTCCATTTCACTCTTATTAACAGCTTACCTACCCTATGTTGAAATTACCAATTCGTCAAGCATGACAATTTACATATATTTAATTGTTTTGAGGCTTAGCTGTAAATCTCTTCTACAATACATCTTTTTTTTTTTTAAGTGGTCGAAATGAAGTCTGCTATGGTCAGCACTGGAGTTTTGGGAATAGCCATCTTGTAAATACTGTTCATCTGTTTATAAAAGCAATAATATACTTAAAACTGCATCTGTAGCAACCCTGGACAGTTAAGTAGGAAAACCAGTTGTTCTCTAGTGGTTAATATCTCTCTTTCCTCCAATCAGAATGCAGTTCACAATACATTAGGTCGGCTGTCTAGATTATTTAACTTAATATTCATTATAAATTATTTAATTTCTAAAGCTTTACTGGTTTTCCATATGATTGAAACAATTATTTCTGAGCACAATCATCCAGATAACTGTATATGGTCTTACTAAATCCCAAGCCAGTAGTTTAATTTCAGCTATCTGCTGCTGTTCATAAACTTCTCACACTGAGTTTTTCAGGATTATAACATCACTGAAACTCATTGCTTGAAATGCACCCTGTGATTCAATAAGAGATTGCATGTTATTCTATATTTAATGAGTGAAAATCCCAATTACAAAGGAATGTATGAAGTCATAAAATACACTGATGCAGAAACTCTGCATGGACGTTATTTATTTATTTGTGTACTTAGTGCTGCAAAGAATTTGAGACAATATAGACCAAGAAAGCTAGGACTTCTTTTTCCCCCCCCTTGCAAAACTCCTTGGATTTTGATTTATAACACACAAACTAAGAATTATAGGACAGTTTAAGCTGGTGTTTTGAAAAACCAAAGGTAGAGGTGATCCAGAGTTTGGGTAATAGCATCTGGATCTGCCTCATTTTGAATTTTGAGCTCAGATCCCTTAACCGAAGTTGACAGATAAGTCACTCTTGCACCCATTCCTGGATGCTTATTACTTTCTTAGGATCTGACTGCATTTTCATGATAGCTGTTCCCGCAATGCTTTTTTTACTGTTCATTGCTTCTTGCCTCTGAAATGGCATTAGCAGTTCAGAGAAATTATCTCTCATCATACCACACCCCCAATATTCCTAGTCCCAATCCCCTGCTCTGATGCAGCAGAAAACTGCAGAAAACTCAAGTAAGGGGAGCCAGGCCTATCCTGGCTTGGGACTGAACATACATACAGCAGGGCTCAGCTACACAGCTAGGCTGAGACACAACAGCTGTAAGACAACTAAAGGGGGTGGGGGCAGACCTACTTGCACTAAACCTGGACTAGGCAGCAAAAGAGAGCCAGGCTATACTGCGCTGGGACTGGACTGGGCAACAAAACATGACGAGTCCCAAGCCATGGCCCAAACCGTACCAGGTCTCACCCTGGCCCAAATCTGCCAGCAAAACTGCCAGGCTCCAACCGTGGGCAGCATGCTCTAGTGATTAATATCCCCATGGTATTATCCTACTCAAAGCCTTAAACCTGGCCCAAATTTTCCATGCCTTTAATTGTAGCCAAAACTACCAGCAAACTGCCAAGCTCCACTCCTAGTCAGCAGGCTCCAGGGATTAATACCTCCACAGTATTATCCCACTCAAAACCCTGGAAAACAAAAGGGGAAAGAAGAGGGAGGGAATATGGGTCTTCAACCCCGAGACTGACTTTTCTCTTCCTGTACCTGTGGCTTTCCCTTCAGGTATCTTCAGCTCTCTTCTCCAGTAAGGGGGGAAGAAGGCGATAAGACCCTCCTCCCCCATGGCGAGCAGTTTCTCTGGCTCCCAATTCAGCTTTGCAGCTCTTAGCAGCCCCAGGAGAAAGACTTGAGCCTCAACTGAGCTGTTCCTATATAACTGGCATAGCATCACCCAAACGTTTCCAGTCAGAGCTTGCATGGCCCCAGCCTCTCTCTCAACCAATTAATTTAAAAAGAATGCTCAGTTTAGCCAATTAGGCTAAGGGGAATGATTTTCCCCTCTCTAAACCTGACCGAAATTAACTTTTATTTACAGGGGTTATCCCTAGACTAGAGGCCTAACAAAAGCCACAGGTATCTGCCTAGGTGCAGTATCTTCTGCTTCCTTCCAGATTAAGAAACAGACAAGATACAGTGCAGAGCAGTGCAAACACATATTAAACCTGATCATATTCAAACTAAAAAATATTTACAGCAACATAAACTAGAACTCTTTGCAGTACAGAATGCTTGTACATTTTGTGTGTGTGAGACAACTTATTTCACTACTTTTGAGTAGCATAAATCAATGGTGTTTGGAGGCAGGAATGGTAGGGTGGTTGGCTGTGCTGATTCCACCTTTGCATGATGATATGTATGAATGGTTGAATTCAGCCATTACCTACTGTTGGCTTCTTGTGGTCTCTCCCTTATTTTTAACCTGGGTGTGGAATGAGCAGCTCTCAAAGCACAAACTTAAGTCCCGTGGGCATGCCACATCCACAAAAAGTATTGTACACAAAGTATATATGTCATGCATAGATTCTCAGTGATTGATGTCACATGCAATAAATAGAAGTAGCAACAAAGTGAAATAAAACTTAGAGCATTCTAGTCTGGCTTGGTGTAGGTAAAATGTGAACCGTGCAGGGATTTGCTAGAGAGGATTTACCAGAGCCTATTTCTGCCACAGAACTGAAGGGAGGCAGAGCTGATTTCGGTGCACACTGTCGGTGCGCTCGAATTATCTTTAAGGGACCAAATATAAATGCTTCTGGAAATGGGCATTTCATGTTTTTATCAAAGGTTACCTGTTGCCATGGACTTAAGAAAATATTTGTGTTTACATGGGAAAATACACAAGTCAATCCTTCAACCGCCACAGCCTTCTTACTGTTGAGCAGATATATTAGAAGGAAGTTATTCTGTCCCTGTTAGCTGCTGTAATTTAAAAATATGACTCTTCTCAATATTTCTTCGATGTTTACAGAAATTATGTCCCCAGACCCAGTGTACTGGCTGGTGTACTGACCTAGACAAAACAGTTTGTGGCATACACCGTGACTGAAAAAGGCAGCCAAGAAGTATCTGAGTCTGAAATTCAGTCTTATATTGTATGAAACAGATGTAACTTGCCTGGAAGGCAGTCAAGAGAAAAGAAAAAAAATCAAACTATTGACTGGAGCCGTACAGTCAAAGAACTGAGAATTTAGGAGTATGTGACATTTCTATAAAGTACAGAGATAAAAGGATGTATTTTTGGCGCCAGTTGAAATGATCAGTCTGAGTTGTTTAGCCCAGAACCTACAATGCGGTGTAGCCAATTAGTGTTACAGCCCTGGTGGGTCAAGGCTGAAAGCCTTACCTCAGTGTGTGGAAGGGTTGATGGGAGAGAGCCAAGACAGTGACTCCTACATTGCCTCTCCTGACTGCTGGCACAAAGAAGATCTCCACAGCCCTTCCCCTGGTGGAACAGGAAATGTGGAAGTGCTGACCATGAGGCTTTGACTGAATGGCAAGAACCTCTCCTGTGGCAGGCATGGTGCCTATCAGCAAGTTGCACATGGGAGAAATTGCAGAGTCTTGAGGAAAGACAGATTGTGGCAGTAAGCATGTATCACCACATTTGGTAGTGAGTGTTTGCAGGTCCAGCCCTTTAATCAGCCATGCGAGAAGCCAGGAACAGACCGGAGAAATCAGGTGCGGTCCATTAACTATAATCGTTACATTGACGTAGCACTAAAATAACATTCAACTAAATAAATAACTATTCATTATCGAATAAAATAACTATTCATTATCCCTTAAATTAATTTTTTTGTTTTAGGGGCCATGTTTCTTCACGACCCCAACCCTCACTGTCCTCAGCTTTCACAAGTCTTTCTCCTGATAGAAGCCTTCTGCTGAATTGGTTGGGCCAGCAGGGAGGACTTTTTTGCTGTCCCTTCCTTTAGTCCCCGTTCCTCCTATGCTCTTCTAATGTCTTGCTTCTTAAAATAGCTGACATCACATTTTTATATAGTTACCTGCTCAAAAGGAGAGCCATGCCTAGTGGGCTGGTCACTCAAGGGTATTCTTCACATTACTCCCTCTTCACCCTGCAGCATACACCATGTACAGTGTTCTGTGGCATCCTTTTAATTTCTGTTCACTCTTTGATATGGCACCTACACAAATTCCATGCAGAGTAATGTGGTACTTTTAGCTTGTTCCTATGACACATTCAGTAATGGTTTAATGTTAAAGTCTCTGTTTACTAAACCTGGGAACCAGTTAAGGAATCAAAAGATCTTTTCTGATGACTTCTACAGCTTCTTTAAAGTTCAGGGATAGCTATGCAATTAACTGTGACTTGCACATGTCAGTATAGCAACCAACAAACCTTCTGAGGAAGAAATTAAATGTCTCCCTGAAGGAAAGTGATTGCATAGATGACTTATTCAAATGTGTAGATAAATTGCTTTGACATGTTTTGCAGGAAGGAACAGAGGCACATCAGTATTGAAATAGCTCTGGGTACCACAAACCTATGCACAGGTAATTGGATTACCTGATGTGCCTAGTACCAGAAAATTGTGGCTGAATAAAATCCAGAAATGACTGAATGGGTTTACACCAAATCTGACCATACTAGGTTTTGTAATGCTGCATTGTGGAAAAGAAAACCTAGCGCCCAAAAGAAGCAGGGGAGATGAAAAGATAAGAATAACAGTAGCAATGAGAGGCTCTTTTCAGTTGTACTGTAGACTTCCTGTCCATTTGATGGAGCCCCCTCCAAATCCATTTAAGAGACAAACAAGCCAATTTACAGTTAAGTTATGATTTTCGAAAACAGTCCCTAAAGTTAAACTTCTCAGAGCATGGTACCCTCTGAGCAAAATGACTGCTTTTAAAGGGCAGTGCAATCAACAGCTTCTGTCGACTTCTGGATAGTTGAGGGCTTTCTGCATCTTGCAGAAGGCATTTAGTGCTATACGTGATCTAACCCACAGGCTTGTGAAAAATTATGTTGATCCCAAGTTGCTTATGTATCTAAGGCATTAATTTGAAACCTCTAGCTTTGGCAAGAGTTCTTTTATACTTCAGTCTGAGTCAGTATATTTTTGCCATTTACAATTGCTTTTGTTTCTTTGTACCTGAAGGTTTTGAAGACCATTCTGAGAATATTATCCCTAGTGTTTTCCTATTGTATATTGTTATCATTATACTAGTACCATTGCAGGAATTTTGGCATTGTTGGGTAAGGAATTTCTGAAGTTTATCTGGCTCATACCAGATGCTGCTAAGGAAAGTGTAAAAACTACTGTACACATATATGGGAATGTTCTTCACATTACACCTTATTCTGATCTTATATAGGTAGAGATGGGCTGAAGGATATTTTAACGTCTCTTACAAAATGCTTAGTGTCCGTAAGTATGAAAGCTCTGGGTAGTCCTGATAGAACCATAGAAAAGTAGAGCTGAAAGGGTCCTCATGAGGTCATCTATTTCTAACCCCCTCTTCAAGGCAGAATCATTCCTGACTAAACTATCCCAGCCAAACGTCTGTCTAAACTTCTCTTGAAAGTTCCAAGGTTGCAGTTTTCACAATTCCTCTAGGTAGCCTGCTCCAATTCTTGACTACCCTCATAATCAGGATGTTATTCCTAATCCCCAACCTAAACTTGCTCTGCTGTAGTTTGAAGCTATTGCTCCTAGCTGTGTCCCATACAGCCACAGACAAAGGTTTGGTTCCATCCTCTTTATGCCAAATCCAGAAGGGGTGCAGCAGTGCAGTTGCCCCCCACCCCTTGGCTGTTCTGCACTAAATTCTCAGAGTCCATCAGCATGTCAGTGTGGCTACTGCTGGGACCTCCCCGTGTGCTGTGACCTCTGGGAGCTCATTGGCTGGTCTGTCTAGATTCTCCGATTTCAAGCAGCCGTGGAGCCTGCTGCTGTTTGTCTTTTCTCTTTCTCCTCCTCTTCTGCTCTCCCACCCTCCACTTTCTGAATTCAGCAGCAGGGAAAAAGAGGGGATGAGTGACTGCAGTAGTGATACTCAGTCTTGTCAGGGTCTGCAGAGGCATTTAGCCTAGCAATCAGAGCCAGGGGTGTTATCAGCCTCTGTAATCAGGGCCAAGCCAAAGTCAAACCGGGGTTCCAGAGTGGAAGGACTTGGGTACAGGGGCAGGACTACAGGAACAGGCACTAGAAAAGTTGCATTAGACAAGAGCTACATGCAGACTGAGGTCAGTTTGGTGCACAATAGGGGCCAGGTGCTACAAGAGCTCCTTAAGAGCAGCCCTGCAACCAGTCAGCAGGCTCAAACTCAGCTGGCCCTGCTTAGAGGGTTGAGGGTTGCTGACCTAGTTACCCAGCTGCAGTGCAGAGACCTTACAGACCCCTGTTCTTACAGAGCCCAGGAGCTGCACACCACGGCTTCTCCCTTCCTTTCCCGTGCTGCTGAATTTAGGAGGGGAAGGGAAGGGAGGGGAAGAGTAAAAAGCAGCAGGCTTTGGAGCCCAAAGCAGTGACTCCAGGCAGACCCTGCACCGGTGAACTTAGATTGCTCACAGTGCAGGTGGAACTGTGCTGACATGCCAGGGAGCTCCGAGGGCACTTTTACCCATGTTCTGAGGTGGGGGGAGGACATGCCCTTTAATTAGAGTGGCTCCACTCTAATTAAAGCGCCGCCGTGTCTTGTGTATCAGTGTCCCCATGCTTAAAGATGGCAGCCAGGGTGCTTGAACTAAAGCTTATTTGATGAGCAAATTTGATGAGCTTTAGTTCAAGCACCACACTGCCATTTTTAAGCATGAGGACACTGATACACAAGACACAGGGGGCTGCTGGAGCGCAGCAATTGATTAATCAAGTTTGTTCCAATGCATTGGAATGCCAGCACACTGGAGTGCCCCGAGAGCTCAACAGAGCTCAGCAGAGTCCAGGATCACAGCGAGGGCCTGTGGCTACACCCCCTTCAGCAGTGTGGCATGTGGACAATGAGCTCTCTTCACTACATGTGCCACACAGCCAAAGGGGATGTGGCCACACTTCCATCATTGCAGTCCTGGATCCACCTGTGTCTTAATAACATAAGAAGTGCCATACTGTGTCAAACCAATGGTCTTTCTAGCCAAGTATCCTGTCTCTGACACTCCTGTCTTTGCATCCCACCCAGACACCAAATGTCAGTGAAGATGGGGATCCCTGATAAATGAGACTATACTCCACCTTAATCCCGTGAGCCACTGGGAACCTCCATTGGCTTCTCCATGGAACCATTGCCAAGGGTGTGTATCTGCCATTGTTTATGCACTCCCCCAACAACTGCCCATTTTGCCAACAGAGGGAGACCCTAGCACATCCCTATCTCAAGTGTGCCAGGTTGCAGCCCCTCTTCCTCCTTCTCCAGAATCTTCTGCTGAGGTTCTGGTTGCACGTCTCCCTGTACCTGTTGTGTTATGCACTCTCCATCTGTGGCCCCAGAAAGCCCTCAGACTTCCGGGTCCGCATCCTCCAGGCTCTGGCTAAGCTGGTCATCTAAAAGACTAGGAAGAAGGCTGTGGCTGGGGGGAGTCCAGGCGAGCATAGGGTTGTCTTCCTGTCACTCCTCTGTTCATGCCTCCAGGCAGAGTTTCACTGGCCAGCATCCACAGGATCCTCAAATCATTCACTAGGCACTGGCCAATGTACTCTGCTAGGTGTCACCTTCTGCGTCCCTTGTCATTAATCTATAACCTCAGTCCTTTTCCTGTTTTCTCTCTATTTGTCCCCTGGAATTTAGTTTGTGTCCCCATTGGCTTCCCTTCTTAAGGTATGGGCCTAAGCCCATGATCTTTTGGCACATCGAATAGGCCTGCCTCTGACACCCAGACACCAAGTGGTAGGACACTGTTGGTGAGGACAGGGGTTCCTGGTGGACTAGCCTATACTCCACTCTAATCCCATAAACTACTGGGGACCTTAGCTGGTGGCTTCTTCATGGAAATGTTGCCATGGCGTGTATCTGGTGCAGCTTATGGTCTCCCCTGACACCTGCCCCATCTGTGAACAGAGGGAGATCCTGGTGCACACTTACCTGGAGCATGCCAGGCTGCAACCCCTTCACCCCCTCCTCTAGGACCTCCTGCTGAGATACTGGCTGCACTATTCCCTGCATCTTTTTGTTTATGCACTCCCCATCTGCAGCTCTATCAAGTCCTGTGACCTCCTGCTCAACCTTCTCCTGGCCCTAGCCAAGCTGGAAGTATACCTGAACAGGAAGGTGGCTGTAGCTGGGAGCACCTCCGGGGACTGAGGGGCCTTTTCCCTGTCCCTCATTTGGTCACGTCTCCAGGTAGATATTCATTGGACAGTGTCTAATGGCTCCTTTGACTCAAGGGCCAGTGGACACTGTCTGGTGTACTATGCTTCATGTGCCCCCTTGGTGCACCCATTTTGAACACATGACCCTGTTTTTTCTTTTAGTTTTCCCAAGCAATCAGTGATATGCCTTTAGTGGTCCTCTTCATCAAAGGGGGCTTTGGCCCATGTTGCAGAATGGCGTATCAAGAGGCCAGTCTCTGACACTGGCAGGAGCAGATGCAGGCAGGAGAGCACAGAACTGGATAGACCTAGTTACCCTCCCTAGCATTCACAGTTATTGGTTTAATGATGCCTGAGCATTTTGTTCAGCAGCTATTAATAGATCAATCAATCATGAATTTGTCTAGTCCCTTTTTGAACATGGTTATGCTACCCGCCTCTACCATCTCCTTTGGCAATCTCCCTTCCTCTTTATACAGGATATATACAAAAGCGGTTCCAGGATTTTACAAGAGGGGGTGTGGGAGCAGTAGCCAGCACTGCAGGCTCCCAGCCTCCTCCCCCACAGTGGGGCAGGCAGCCTGTGCCATGGGTCCAGCAGCTGGGGACTTTCTTAAGTCCCCAAAACAAGTAAGAATTCTACTTCTTTCCCCCCCTTCAGAGGCACATCCCCTCCCTTACCCCCTCCTCCACCTGCAGCTTCTGTTGTCTCTGCTGTCCTGGGGTGAGCTTCAGAGCTGCTCCTGCCCACTCCAGCTAGGCTGCATGTGGGTTGGGCTTAGCCTGGAAGAGTGGTAGGAGCAGTGGTGGTGGGTGAGTGTTCCTCCTCCCTGTGCCTGCTCCCCAGCTGGCAGGGAATACCTGGAGGGACCAGGAAAGGGAGGGAAACCCACCTGCCACCGACTGCTATGCCAGGCTGAGCCCAGTCCCCACCACCCAGCCCAGCTGGATCAAGACAGCAGCTTCCTTCACTCCCAGAACGTTGGAGTCAGTGACAGCAGCAGGAGAGGGAGTGCAGAATGGGAGGGGAAGAGAAGTGCCTCTGGGCATGGAGAAGAAGGGAAGGGGATACTTCTTACTTTCTTTGGGAACTTAAAAAAGTCCTTAGCTGCTGCTCTTGCCATGTGATCAAAAAAGTGGGGTACAATCATGCCTTTGTACCTCCAATGGATTCATCCCTGGATGCAAAGTCTTTATCAGTCTTGTTAAGTTCTTGCTGATGGTCCATTCAGATGGTGCAGATGTCCACCGTGCTGCCTTCTTAAAGATGCAAGTCTTAGTACTAAGGGAAGGTGCCATCTTTTATATTAACAACGTAAGGCAGCAGCAAGCTTTGTAAATCTATAACTGAATTTTGAAAGTAATAAGCTTATTTTACAACAGCATGTACTTACTAAGCACAATTCACATCACTCAGAATTGTCAGTGGCTCACTGAACTGCATAGCCAAGTATGATAGGTATTTGCTCAGGTTCTTGCTCTTTTCTACTACCAACCCCTGCAGAAAACAACTTTGGTTAGCTACTTTTGCTGCTTAGTGTTTGTGGTAATCCTGTGCAAAGTGCTTCTTTGGCAGTAGGGAAAAAGAAACACGCACATGCAGTTGTTTGTTCTTGTTTGTACAGATCACAGACAGAAGGAGAGTCTGCCCCTCCTCCGCCCTTCCATTTCTGCTTTTAAAATGACAGGATAAAGAGGAGGAAGATGATGAAGGTGGAGAGAGAGTTTAGTTCGGATCAGTGTAATGAAGTGATTACATTTACTCTGCTGAAGTAGACCAATTGTTCATCTTCTGCTGCATTTGCCACATCCCTGTTGTATGCTTTCTGCTCCCTTATTCATTAATTGAAGGTTAAAAACAAAACCATCCAAGCAGTGTTTTTGCTGTTTTAGCCACACTTGACAAGGATCATCCCTTCTTATCTATTTTCTGCCAGAATGCACTCTTCGTTTGATATCCTTCAAACATACAGATGGATAGGGTGTTGTTTATCCTGTACCTGCTTGGATGCCTGGGGACCATTTTATACCTATTATTATTTAGTAACCTGCATTAGAAATTATAACTTGTGCCACTGGAAGGGTAGAAACACAACCCACAGAGAAACAAATCCTTCTATAATGGCCTACTGCACACAGCAATACAAAGCTTCCTCAGTTAAACACTTAGCCAAAAAGCGAGGACTTCAGAGAGAGAGAGTGGGCTAAATCCCATCACACCTGAGTTGAATCCTATTTCACCCTGAAATATTCAAACCCCTCAAAAATATGTAGGACCACATCCAGCTCCATTTCTTAGGTGCTTAAGAGGACACAGTACCAAAGTGTGATCTTATTCTATCCTGCTTGGGCCCTGAAAAAGTGTTATTTCAAAAGGTGGCAGGGTCCCTCCTCCTTCACACTGATTTTTTGTGACTTAATTTTAAAGCTAATATGACAGCATGTTATAAAAATAGATGCACTTTTTAGGGACTTGAACTGTGCCTTGCTTTAGAGGCCTGTGGGCCAGATCTAGATGGTGGATTTGACCTCTGCGTCTTCTTGTGGACTGGATGACCTACATCAGTGGGCTGAATTCAGCCCCATTGGCACTATACCTGCTGAAGCAACTGCATCAGCACAGCTCTGCAACTGAGAGAGTTAATACTACCAGTGTTCACCCCTCCATACTTGTAGCTGAATTTGGGGTTTTTAATCACCATTGGTGACTAATATTGGTGTCAGGGGAAAGTGGGAGCAGGGACGAGTGGTGGTTGTGTTGACACCCTGGTCCCAGAGCCTGGCCAGTACAGGAGCACTGGTAGCCATGGAAATTAACATTGCTGTCACCATTGCTCATGGGTCATATGGTCTGCAAGAATCCTTGAAGGCTGAATCTAGCTCATGGGGCCAAATGACATTGATGCCTCTGCTTTAGAGCTTTCCAGCAGAGGTCTGACAAAAGATATGAGAATTGGGCCATAGGTTTGAAGACTGACTAACACAGGGTGTCATGGGTTGGAATTCAAGTCAGGAGTTCTCCCCCAACAGTAGAATCATAGAATGAAAGAAAATTATGACCTCAGGAGGTCGTCTAGTTCAACCCCTGCTCAAAGCAAGAGCATCCCAGCCAAAGCTTTGTCTAGCTGGGTCTTGAAAACCTGCAAGGATGGAGATTCCACCACCTCACTGGGTAACCTGTTCCAGTGTTTTACTACTCTCTTAATGAGGAAATTCTTCCTAATATCCAACCTCAACTTCCCTTGCTCCAGCTTGGAAACATTGCTCCTTGTTCTGTCATCTGCCATCATTGAGAACAGTCTAGCTGTATCCTCTTATGAACCCCCCTTCAGCTAGTTGAAGGCTGCTATTAAATCCTCTCAGACTCCTCTTCCCTAGACTAAATAAGCCCAGTTCCCTTAGCCTGTCCTCATAAGTCATGTGCCCCAGCCCCCTCGTTTCTGTTGCCTTCTGCTAGACTCTCCAATTTCTCCACATGCTTTCTGTATTGGGGGGCCCAAACTGAACACAGTACTCCAGATGTGGCCTCACCAGTGCTAAATAGAGGGGAATAATTGCTTCCCTTGACCTCCTGGCAACACACCTCCCAATACAGCCCAGTATGCCATTAGCCTTCTTGGCAACAAGGGCACACTGCTGGCTCATATTCAGCTTATTTTCCACTGTAACCCCCAGGTCCTTTTCTGCAGAGCTGCTGCCCAGCCAGTCAGCCCCCAGCCTGTACTGGTGCAGGGGTTTG